GATCGATACTAAAACCAGTAACGAAGTGAGATACTTGTTTGAGCAGGTATCGACACAAAAAAAGCACATTCACAGGACAGAAATGAAGCTTTCCTGAATTGTTTTAGAATGATCTTGAGCTGTATCAGAACAAGTATAAGAGCACATAGACTAGTATACACCCGTGGTCCACTATGGAACCTACCTGGACCACTGAGGGATTACACAGATAGAAAACCACATGGGAATAAAAAAGAAAGTACTGTATTTTTCCTGTAGCAAAAGCAAAATATATGCACATTTTTCCTTTTTAAATGTTTTTACAAGATCTAAGGCTGCGTTCAGACTGCAGCCTGAAGTGACCCAAATCCGATTTTTTGGCCTCTATGTTCCTGTATCTGATCTTTTAATGACAGTCTGAACGACACAGATCTGATTTTTTCAAATGCGACCCAGGCCACTTGGATATGTGCTCCTGAAACTGATACAGCTGATCTTTTGACATGCGACTTCAGTCTGAACGGCCAAAGCGCATTCATTCGAACTACACGTTATCAACAAGCCACAAACGTCACTATTCTGCGCTGAAGTAGGCGAAAATTGTTAATGAACTCTGTGTCACCAAAGCGAAGCACATCACCACTCACCACTCTTGGCAACGTCTCCACATCCACATGTTCCTTTCAACGGACGTCGCTGCCGCTGTCCCACAAAACACCACCGGCAAAAACCTCGTCCTTCTCCTTCTCAATCTCCTCCTTAAAACAAGTAAGTTGTTCATGTTCTGGCTCTGGTACGAGAGAAACTTTAAAATCTCCAGGTGCTCAATGCTGCGTCCATGTTTGGACAACTTCCGTAAACACAGAGCACGCTCGCTGCGGTTGATGTCGTCGTGTCTCCAGTGCACATGCGGGACACTTTCGGGCCGTTTAATGTTCACACTGGAGTCACATACAAGTCACATTTAATAGGAAATGTGAACGACCTCGCAAAAAACATCGGATTTCACAAAAAAAACGGAGGTGAGCATTAAACCCTGCAGTCTGAACGTAGCCTTAGAGTGAATCATTACAGCCAGAACAGAACAAATTCAGATTTTAAAGTGCTTCAAAACTCACAGGCCTCAAGTCCGAGTCAAGTTCCAAGTCATTGACCTTCAAGTCCTAAGTCTTAATCGATTTCATCAAGTCAAGTCTCAAGTCCTAAAAATAAATATAAAAATAAAAATTGTGATTCAAGTCTGACGACGACAATCCGTTGTCCCAGACAGCAGCCTCCCTACACGCCACAACTGAACAAAGCCCAGAGTCACCGTGAACGCACCAAACAAAGTCCCACTGAGCCATCAAATGGTTGTGTTTCATAAAAATCCGATGTGGTTAATTTGTGAAAAAAAGTTTGAAAATAGACCTACTTGACCTACTTGGACCACTGAGGGATTACACAGATATAAAACCACATGGGAATAAAAAGAAAATACTGTATTTTTCATATAGGAGTATATAAGAGTTGTAGAAATGCAAATGTTTCTTTTTTAAATGTCTTGACAAGATCTTAGAGTGAATCATTATGTTCAGAATACAACAAATTCAGATTTCAAAGTGCTTCTCAAATCACAGGTCTCAAGTCCGAGTCAAGTCCCAAGTCACTGACCTTCAAGTCCAAGTCCCAAGTCTTAGTCCATTTTATCAAGTCAAGTCTCAGGCCCTAAAAATAGTGACTCAAGTCTGACTCTACTTAAAGATAATTAAAGTATAATTGAATACAAAGGTATATTTATTTAATGTGTTAAGACCCTGTGCCAAGGCCAAGACAAAAAGAAGGAGACAAGAGGCTGGATTTTAAAATAAACTATACAGTATTTATGAACTAAACATCCACTGTTACTGCCTTTTCCGTTTGCACGACTCCTTATTTTTGGCACATGATTCAAAGCAGTGTACAATAACTGCCAAATAAGGGTCAAAGGTCAGTTTTGAGCTCAATATTTTTCACAATATTTATTCACATGATAAAGGAGGTTACAAATACAAACAAAATGACATTAACTCATTTTTAACCAAACATATGTTACTGCGTTTTGTTTTTGTTGAGCAGAACACTAGCCCCAGTACAGATATATTGTGGTGATGGGCGAATGGAGCCTCGTGAAGCACTGACACCTCAGTCGCAATATTGTCTCAAATGGTTCGATGTGTCTGAGGCCTTGGAGAAACACTGACCTCTAGTGGACAAATTTAACAATAAGACAATACTTGTGTGCAGAGCATACACTGTATCTAACAACAACAGTAATAATGATTATTTTAAATAATATGTAAAGAGCAACATAAATAGTTGCTGTAAATAAGAAAATAGGTGTTTCCTTGTTTGGTGGAATTAGATCAAAGTGATCCCAAACCATGGATCACTTTTTTCCACTTGTAGATGCCATCGAAAATGAAATAAATGCCTAAAGTTGCCAAAAGTCGCCAAAATCACCACTAACGTCACACAATACTCCTCACTACCCAACATTTTTAACAAATATTGGTGCATCTTTTATACTGTAGCAGTTCAGTGCTTGTCAAACCACAGAAGTGCGCTGAACACTCTGAAGCACTCTGAACCAATCACAGAGCGGGACATTTGCTGAGCCAATGAAATGCTTCGATACACTGAAGCGATTGACACGTAGAGTGAAGCAGTAGGGGGAAGGACCGACACTTCCACACTTTGGTCACGTGAGCGGCTGCTGCGAGACGAGCTCCGAGGCAGTGCTTCAGAGCAATTTGTTTCAGAAAGAACGAGACGTGCTCCAGAGCTCCGACTCATTTGCTCGTCACTAATATATTGTACAAACAGCTTTAAATCCACTGTGTACTGGACTGCATCAAATTGTAAAGCATTTTATTATTTCATAATAAGGAAGTGCTTGCTAGCATGCTGGTTGTAGCCATGATGCAAACTCCGCTCTAGTCTTTGAAAGTTTTGAAAAGCCCTTATAAACTCATTGCAGTGAATAATTTGCCAGACTGGTGCCACCTAGTGCCTCCGCTCAATTTCATTTCTCTCCAGTGACTAGGTCAGGAATTGGAATACACTAGACAGTTTGCAAGAACCCCGGAAGGTGAGGACCATGCACTGGCCAATCAGTGAAGAGCTGTGAAGCCATGACGTCAAACTCAAGCTCCTGTCTGGCTCCCTTTTGTGGAACAGCACAACAGTAAACAAAGAGGTTGAGATGGATGTAGACGAAGACAGACATTCTGTGTTGGCAACGATTCCAGAGATCAAGGTTTTACAACAAATCGAACAAAGAGAATGTTTGGTGAATTTTATCAAGGGGAAAGATGTTATTGCCCTTCTTCCTACAGGATTTGGTGCATTACATACCTCATGAGCAAACAGCAGCGATTGGTTAAATAAAAAAGTACCTGCCGATTGTTGAGCGAACGAATCCTAATGCTGCGAGGTCAGACAGTTTCCACGAAGTGAAACCAACTGTCCCAGGGCAGCCTTGACTACAGAAATAGCTTATCACCACCAAGTATGATGAGAATGAATAATGACCACATTGTAGTGCTTTGAGAGGCTATTAAAATGGGTTGATTTTGTGTGACATCATTTTGAACAGCACACAGTTTAACATGGTGCTCAAGCGCAGGTCAGAGGTTTTTGATAGAATTTGTCTTTTAACTTCGATACTGTCCATGTCTTAAAGCAGGGGTGTCAAACTTATTTTGGTCCAGGCACCGTATCCAACCTACTTTGATCCCAAAGGGGCCAGATCAGAAAACTCATGACATATAAACCCCAAAAATAACAAGAAGTTCAAATATTTGTGCAGAGAAATGTAAATCTATTACAGAAATATTTTTTAATTGATGAACTCTTTCTTTTACAAAATATTATAAAATTATGAACAACCTGAAACTTAAAAAAAATATACAATTTCAGCACAATGTTTTAACATTAACTTGTATGTAAATAGGAATAAGTTCATTTTTGTGGTAAAATCCTGTACTCTGCTCCACTTTTCTCATTTGGACATTTTGCTGATGAGGGTGTCACGGTCAACAGTCAAAACGATCGTCCTTTAAGAGAGTTTGGAAAGAGACAAGTCTTCATTTGTGCTGCTCTGGTGGGAGGGGCCACGTACAGAGACGCTGGAGACGCTGCTGTGATAAACACCAGAGAAAATTAACAATATTTTTATAGAAAATATAATTCAAATATTTTAATAGAAAATCTGTGGAGGGCCAGATTAAAGGTCTTGGAGGGCCGGATCCGGCCCCTGGACTGTATGTTTGACACCCCTGGCTTAAAGGGACAGTCCGGAATTTTGGCACATGTCAATGGCCGTAGTTAGTCTGTCTTTAAAACATTCTTACCCACTCCAGGCAAAGCTCTTCTTCTTCTTCTTCTTCTTTTTTTCTGTTTTACTTTTGGTCAGTTTGGTCTCTCGGCAAAGAAGCTTTCATTTGGAAACATCAAAACCACTCTACACTGAAAGATGTTTTAATACTGAATTTAATCAACCTGCCACCATAGAGTTGTATTGGACATTTTAACTTCAAAGGCTGTTTTCTCAAAATGCATTTTCCTCTCATAGGGACAGATCACTTCTTAAAGTAGCACCGAGAAACTTGTCATCTACAGAAGAAGTTTCAAACTGAAGATTTTATTCCAATCCACCTGCAGAGTCTCACCTTGACAAGTTCCAACATGTGCATTATTAAACTATAGATGTTTACTACTAAAGGAGTGACGCGCCCACGTAGACACTTTATTCTTCCATTTAAAAACATATAGACACTTATAAAATTGTATAGCTTCAAACTTAATCAGCTTTAATTAGTCCTGCGTGAATTATGGTTTAGCAAATATATATTTTCCTGCAGTTCCAGAGCCAGAAAAAAAGAGTTCATTTAGACTTTTATAATTTATAGAGTAATGCTGGTACTTATTGTTGTCAGTTCAAGGGAAAAAGCTGGAGCCGCATATTAAAGTCCAATTATCATACATTACAATATCATTTAAAGACACTTCTTAAAACATGAAAAACAAAACTAGATCATTTTAAACAGTTTTCAGTGGTCCAAAGTTATTCGTCACTTACCTTATGCATTCAGAGCGTCCTAATTATTCACTAACCTGATTCATCAGCCGTCTGACCTTGCAGCATTAGGATTCGTTCGCTCGACGGTAGGTGAATCCGTGTGTCATTCGTTCATTAGTTTTTCAATATAAAACCAAAAATAAGAAAACGAAAAAACAACTGTTATTTGTCTCCAAAACCAAAATGAAAAAACGGATAACGATTTGTTTTTTTCAGTTTTCGATTTTATGTTTAAATGAAGAATGGAAAAAAAACGGATAATGGCCATTTCCCGTTTCCATGACTGCGATGCCGGACTTTTGCACCGCATACAGACTGAACCAAGACTGATCCAGGTCTGGGACCAGACCAGGACCAGACCGGGACACCCCTGCACTAGACGGTTTGCAAGAACACTAAAAGTTGTAGACCGCACCGGCCAATTAGTGAAGAGCTGTGAAGCCATGAAGTTAAACTCAAACGCCTGTCTGGGTTCCTTTTGTGGTTTTAAAGGCTGGAACAAAGAGAATGTTTGGTGAATTTTATCAACAGGAAAGACGTTATTGTCCTTCTTCCTACGGGATTTGGTGCATTACATACGTCATGACCAAATAACAGTGATTGGTTAAATATAAAATGTACCTGCCTACAATCCGTGTATCATTCGTTCATTTGTTTTTCAATATAAATTCACAAATAAGAAAATGAAAAATCAAGTTTTCTTCATTATTTGTCTCCAAAACCAAAATGAAAAAACGGATAACGATTAGATTTTTTCAGTTTTCGATTTTGTGTTTAAAAGAAGAATGGAAAAACGGATAACAGCCCGTTTATGTGACTTCCGTGACTGCGATGCCGGATTTTTGAGCTGCATATGGACTGAACCAAGACTGATCCAGGTCCGGGACCAACACCGGGACCAGAGCAGGTCACCGACTTCGAGCTCTGGCCCTGCCATGGGCTCTGAGCCTCCGGTCTAGTCCCGGCTTGGTCTTGGTCTCAGTCTTGGTCTGGTCCCAGCCTGGTCTCAGTCTGGTCTCGGTCTCAGTCACGCTCTGGTCCCGGTCTGGTCCCCATGAGTTTTCTGATCCGGCCCATTTGGGATCAAAGTAGGTTGGATATGACCCCCGAACCAAAATGAGTTTGACACTCCTGGTCTAGTGTATACCGATTCCTGAACTAGTTGCTGGAGAGAAATGAAACTGAGCAGAGGCACTGGGGCTACATTCACACTGCAGCCTGAAGTGACCCAAATCTGATTTTTTGGCCCCTATGTTCCTGTATCTGATCTTTTAATGACAGTCTGAGCGACACAGATGCGTTTTTTTCAAATGCGACCCAGGCCACTTGGATATGTGCTCCTAAAACTGATACATATCTGATCTTTTGACATGCGACTTCAGTGTGAACGGCCAAAGCGCATTCATCCGAACTTACACGTTATCAACAAGCCACAAACGTCACTATTCTGCGCTGAAGTAGGCGAAAATTGTTAATGAACTCCGTGTCACTGAAGTGAAGCACATCGCCACTCACCACTCTTGGCTACGTCTCTACATCTACACGTTCTCACAAAAAAATCCGAATTGAGCGTTAAGCCGTGCAGTCTGAACATAGCCTAGGTGGCTCCAGCCTGACTAGCCCTGGGACAGACTGGTGGAAATAAGGCTGCCAATCTGCCCCTGTCACTCTCTCTTTCTCACATACCACATTCATACTAGGCAATGCGGGGTGAAGTGTCTTACTTAAGGACACAATGATCGAACTTGGTAAGCAATCAGTCCTCTGATGCTGACGTTTATGGACAAGCACTCTAATCACTTAACTCCTATTGTATCACAAATCTCCACATTAAAGAATGAAATGTACTTGGCAAAATATATATCTCATATATATCTCCCGGCCACAATTTGCTTTCTATGGGTTTCAGAGTGACAAAAAATTGGCACAGTTTCCATAGCGATTAACCATTCAAAACGAAATATTATACATCTTTTAAATGGGCATACTTAAAATGGTGCTTATAAGCAGGAAACTGAAAACCATGAATAACTTCTCCTCTGTACTTTCCAAGAACCAAAATATATCTTAGTGACTATTACCATCTGTAGTAATGGATTAAATGTTTTGGAAAACAATCTCATCCATCACAAACGTTTACGCGGTAATCCTCTAAAAAACTCTCTCGCCAGCTACAATTTTAGCTTTCTTCTGTTTATTCCACAACTTTTCTTTCACTGAAGTCTCTCTATTTTTCCTGTTTTAAATCCTATTCTTCTTCCTCCTCCACAGAAAGACTTCGGGCAGCGGCAGTCCAGACAGTATGCTGAAGAAAACCCTCCTCCCCTCCTCCAACCTCTACCCCACCACCTCCTCCACCTCCTCCTGCTCTCCCAACGGCTCCACTTACAGCTCCCGGAACAAGCGCCAATCCTTCTCCGGCCTCAACCGAACCAGCCCCTCCCCGTCCCCGCTCTCCCCCGCCATCGAAATGATCTCCAGAGGTCCCGACGGCCGCTTCGCCACGTCCGAATACGACACGTTGAGCATCGACAGCAAGAAAGACTACGACCTCCAAGAACGCCGATCTATCTCCCTTCACTCGGACTGCGACGATAAAGAACCGGCTTACGTTCTGTCCGTCGATCTTCCGCCTTGCAAGCCACCGCAGTCCACTCCTTACAGCCACATTTACCCGTTGGTTCAAGTTCAAAAACCAAGTTACGAAGGTATGCTGGACTTCAGTAGCCTTTGCTCCAACGCAAGCCTCGCGACGCTACCGCACCCGAGTCCGTCGTTCCCGGTTCTCCCTCATATCCGGTCAGGTTTCGGTCAACCGGCGACCACGGCCAGCACATTGGTTCTTCAAATGGAGCACGAAAGAGAGAAGGGTAACTTAAGCCGGTGTCTGAAACTCGCGCAAGAACGAGAAGAGTTGGAAAGGGAGCTGCGGAGGTACACGCAAACTGACGATTACGAGGAAGAGCCCATGTGGAAGTATCGGAGCAATACGTTACCACACAAAGTCAGCTCGCAGCACCGTCCTGGTTCGTTCTCTTCCGCTTCTCTGCATTGGGAAGCCTACCGTCTCACCTCACCGCCACCCACTCCCACGCCGCACTTGACCCGCTTTGGCTCGGTAAGTCCTTCCTGTTTTCAGAAAGAGCGTCTGGCGCGCACCCCTCCGAGCCATGAGGGGGCAGAGCGCTTTTGTCAAAACGGAAGATTAACTCTCCCACGTACCCCATCAAAGAGACAAGAAAAGAGGGATGCGACGCCAGAGGGTTTGGAGAAATCAGCCAATTCCGCCGTGAAAATGCACGCGGGTGAGTCATGCGGGAGGAGGCAGAACAGCTTTACAATGCTGCCGTTCCAAGGCGAGAAAATACCCTCAGAGATGCCATTCAGTAATCGGAGTCTTGCCAACATCTTCAAAAATCTCAAACGGAGATGTCGAGATGAGCGTGGATGAACCAGATTCAAATAGATTTCCAGATTCAACCCCAAAGCCGATGCTACACCAAAGAATCGCCTCGCATGTGGAAAACGGATGCGCTCTATCCCGCAAAGATCAGTGTCGCACCATAAGGAGGAGTAAAAGCTTAAACAGCCGAAGTCCAGTTCCCAAAGGCGAGGATGTCAAAAGGCCCATGTCTCCGAGCGCAACTAAACGCGAAAGCTGGGAGAGAAATCCAGCAAAACCCAAGGAATCAAAGCGGAGAAGCCACAGTTTAGACTCCCGGAGGCGGAAGGACAACAACAACTTCCTGACACCAGATGCGTGGATAAATTCGCTAAGCCAGGAAAACTGCGCCGATTTAGCTCCGCCGAGACCGACCTCGCTCGTCTGGGATCCGCAGAGCTCGCCAAGAAGAGCTAAATCTCCGGCAAATCCCAATAAAATCCGAACAAATTCTCCGCATCAGAGATTAACGCCAAATCACCTATCGAGCGGGAATTACGAGCCGAGGAGAGATACGACGGCACAAGATTATAATTACCACGAGGCTATGAGGGCGGCCGGGCGGTACCTAGAGGCCATCAAGAAGCCGTTTTTGGAAGAAGACGGGAGATACGCTGAATATGAAGGAGAGGAGGAGGGCTACAGAGGGGTTCAGGAGTCTGGGAGCTATAGCAGTTACGCCAGCAGCGGCAGAGGAAGCATGGAAGCGCCCAATAACAGGCTGTCAATCTGCCAAATGTCCCCCCACCCCACGAGAGTCTCCGGCCAGGATGGAGGACCAGATGAGCGGGCACATGGAGCACAACCACAGGTGAGTGTCGTGAGTCTAAGTTTAGGTTTATTGTAAGACTATTGATTTAAAGGTACAGTATGTAACTTTCTGGAGGTGGCACGTCACTTGCATGATTCCATGGAAATAGAAATGTAAAACCATACTTATGTTTTAGGCCAGGGGTGTCAAACTCAAATTCATAAAGGCCAAAATTAAAAATTACAACAACATCTGCATGTTTTCTCTTCTTTTGAGATATGTAATGTTAAACATTTTCTTAAATAAAATAAAGATTTAATAATAGCTTTGCTTAAACATTGAATCCAGAACAAGCATATTATAAAATAACACAGCTTTAAATAATGTCTATAGCCTATCTGTAGCTTTTGAACTCCTTTTAAATGTTTTTTATAATTTATTTTTTATTTTTTTTCACAAGCCAAGAACCAGTCAAAAATAACAATGTGCTTCAGTGAAAATCCAAGCAGATGTTAATGAGTGTCAACAGGAGTAGTGGAGGCTATGAGTGCACTGACAGGCCGGTGCCAATGCATTTGCAAAGCATTCTGTGATTCGTAGTATTGGCGTGGCAGCCGGCGGGGAGCTCTAATACATATGTGATATGATCTCACAGGCCAAATATAATTATATCGTGGGCCAAATTTGGCCCCCGGGCCTGAGTTTGACATGTCTGTTTTAGGTGATATTGTGGAATATTACAGCCAAAGGCAAGGTAAGTTTATTTGTATAGCACAGTTTGTACACAAAATAATTCAATGTGCTTTACAGAATAAGAAATACTTTAAAATCACAAATCAAAACATAAATAATTATCATAAAATTAAAGAGAGATAGAGACATTAATTTTTTACCTTGTTTTGAGCCTGGATTTAAACAGCATCAAAGTCGAGTCTGTCTCACATGTTCACAAGACTGTTCCAGGTTTTAGCTGCATGAATCTGAAACGCTGACTCCCCGCGTTTAGTCCTGACTCTGGGCACCAGCAGGAGGCAGGTCCCTGAGGTCCTCGACTGCGAGATGGTTCATATGGAAACAACATTTCCATCGAAACAAGCAGGAGGGGCCTCTCCAGGCCAAATAAGAGTGAGGTTTGTGGAGATGCAAGCCCGCTCACAATTAGGACTAGGTTTAGGGATCATTAAGAAGTTGCCGATACGATACATACCTCCGTACATAGGACACGATGCAGTACATATCTCGATACAGTGCACTTTCAATTCGATATGATATATTTCAAATCGATTCGATATGGTTCAATAAAAGATAAAGGCTAAATGATGGCTGAGACACTAAAAGTCTTTGTTAAACAAATTCTTGTGCAAAGTTTATATGAAACACAAACTTTTTAATCATTTAAACAGTGAAAATATCAAATGAGTCACATAAATGAATTTCCTTCCACTAAACAAGCAACAAAACTCTAGCACTGTAAGAAAATAACTCTTGGCGATATATCGATACAGCTGGCCACGATATTGACACTGTATCACATTAAACAATAGGATATATTGGTTTTTCGATACTTTTGCACACCCCTATTAAGGGCACATGTTTTTCATGGCCATAAATACAACCAGTATGAAAAAAAACAAAAAACATGCTATTATTTGAGTCTATTTTTTGGCAAAAAAAGGTTACATACTTTGGTTTCAAAGCTCCTGCGTACCTTTCTGCACAAAGTAGTCTAAAATAAAAACCTTTTGCATTTCATTTTCGTTTTTCGTCTTGCACTGCAAACACTTAGAAAAACATGTGTCCTTCCTCTGAGTGGGCTTGCATCTCCACAAACCAGACCCTTGTTTGTCCTGGATGAGGGCCTCCTCCTGCTTGTCTCCACAGAAATGTTCCTCTTGCATTATGCCATAAACATGTGTCTGACAGAGAATGAATGTATGGTTTTAACTTTATATTTCAATAAAATCCTGCAGGAGAAGGTTACAGTGCTTCTGAAAATATATATGTATGCATTTTGAAGGTTCAATTCTTTTTCAATGTCAGTATGAAGGACACATCACAGCCGTCCAGTAATATTAAAGCTACACTCACATCCTGTATGCATTTGAAAGTGTTTTTCTTTTTCACTGTATTGAATGTAGATTAACATAAGTACACAAATTGTTAGAATTAGTCTGGTGAAAGTGTACAGACTTTAAAATACAGAGGAGCATCATGGACTACAACAAGCTACTTACATCAGTGGGTGGAGATATTTTAAGAGCTCAAACACCTGTGCATAAAGACAAATTCTGCTCTGCTTTTGATAAGGAACAAGTACAACAAAGACATCTTACCACTGCCTCTCGAGAAATGCAATTAAAGATATGCCTACAGTAAATAAAGCATCGCGTTCTTCCCACACGTTTTTAGACTAACTTCACTTGTCTTATTACTGGGATCCAAAGAAACTTAACTTGAATAAAAAACAAATGGAAATGCTATACCTTTTTCAGAATCAAATGTTGTGTTCAGGTACAAATTTCAGGTACAGTGTTGTGTGATCATTTTAGATTAACAAAAAACGTTATTTTAAGACAACATATGTTTCAAAAGTTGGGGGGATTATGGAGATTAATTGCAGCCTTCTGTTAAGAGTAAATAACTTATTATTGTGTAAATGAACAACTGTTGAGAGGAAACAGCTCCACTGGCAAGGACACATCTGAACAGAACGTACTCTTTAAGTCTGAAAAGTACAATTGAAAGTTATTGTAAAAAAAAAAAAGTCTTGTATGCAAATGCTACAAGAAGATGGGATAACTATCCGTGTGGAACAGCGTGTTTTTCCATTTGTTTACTCAAACAAAGACGAGTAATACAGTGTCTTAATGTTTTTCAGCCGCTCCAGGAGGAAAGAGTCTGTGGATGAGAACTACGAGTGGGACACAGCGGAAGTGTGCTCACAGACCGGGGAGCATGACGGTGAGGATTCTGCACGGGCTGAATTGTGTTGACATTATTCTTTGTGTGCTGCACCATCGAAAAAAACATGTATTTGTGACTGAAAAATAAGAGGGGTGTAATAATAATGCTACGAATGCTTATTACAGTGGTACAGTGGTCCCTCTTTTGTCGCAGGGGTTACATTCTAAAAATAACCCATGATAGGTGAAATCTGCAAAGTAGTCAACTTTATATTTTAGAGATATATCAAACTTTTATGCTGCATACGCCACGGACTTCTGAACCACGACTAAACCAGAACTAACCTAGGACTGATTCCAGGACTGAAGAGGAGGAGTAAGCAGGACTGAAATAGGACTAAAACAGGACTAAAAAAGGAGTAAATCAGGATTAAACCAGAACTGAAACAGGACTCACTGTCGGGACGGACCCGGAGGTGACCGCAGGAGAAAGGACCGGCTCAGCGCCACACCTTGGACTGTCACCCCATTGCGTTTTGTAGACAGCTATACTCCACAGAGTCGGGGTTCTCTCTCTTAAATCCAAGACTACTCCTGGTTTAGTTCTGGTGTAGTCCTGGTTTAGTCCTGACCTGCCTGTGTGTAATCACTACCCGCCCGCATACTCACCCTTAAAATACCAAAACATTAAAACCCGCCCGTTTCAGCAACTATTTGCTCGTACCCGACCCTGTGCAAGACTCTGCTACAGCCGCGTAACTTGTACCTTCCTTCAGTGTGTCCAGAAGTCCAACTCTGTCTTTTGGGTGTGACTGCAGGAGTCTTTGTCAGTGCAGAACGTTTTGTCGACATTGCGGATTTTGTCAGGGAGAACATACAGCACTTCAGAATCACAATGCTAGAGATCTAACTTTTAGGTAAATTTGGCAGGTGAACACATTCTGTACTGTAACGGAAACATGGCACAGAGGAGACTGAGTGACAATGGTCCATAGCCAATCAGGCTGCAGGGGGAAGAACACAATGCGCGTGCGAAACAGCGAGACCGTGAAAGGGTGAGGGACGACTGTACTCATCCAAAGCAGTATTGTATGAATCAGAATCAGACTAAGGGACTCTTGTAGGACAATTCACTGGAGCCACCTGGCCCACCTCACACACACACACATCTCAGTACAGTACAGTAGTATATGCCATGGCATGCTATTAGGTTCCTTTTTCAGACCAAGAGTTTGTTTTCATACCTGACAGTTTGGACTCTTCACTAGCGCTCTTCCTCAGAGTGGTCACGTGATGTTGCTGTGACGTGTCCAATCAGCTGATTTAAACGGGTTTTGGCGCTGTCTAGTCGAAACTAGAGCTGTCGCAATAACCTCAAAAACGAATCGCGCGGTACTAACAGGACCATCACGGTGTATGTTGGCCCACTGCGATCATCGCACGTGACCAGTGACCTGACCCAGAGTCCTGCGCGGGTTCATTTTTGAAGACCTGCACCCGCTCGGTCCAGCACTGCACCCACCCGTTAATCAGTGGTTATATCAAAGTTAAACCCGCACCTGCCTGGACCCTTGATAAACCACGCACAAATTAAAAGCATTTTAACTGAAACATCCATCAGAATACGAATTGAAAAGACTTCAAGAATTACGATCACAAAATGAAATGAAACAGTTTCACTTTCTTCATTACGAATATGAATTCACAGACGCCACTCGACTCTCATCACTTCACAGGCTTTATTTATGGAGCAGAAGAAACACGCCACGGACTGAACCAGGACTAACCCAGGACTAATTCAGGACTAACCTAGGGCTGAACTTCGACTAAACCAGGACTAAACCAGAACTGAACCAGGACTCGCTGTCGGAGCGAGCTCAGAGGTGCGCCGAGACTGTCGGGTGACCACAGGCTAAAGGACCGGTGCAGAGTAAGTGCAGCCGTCGCCCGATCTCACTTGGCGGACACCCTGCTCCATGGGCTTGAGGTGCTCTCTCTCTTAAGTCCGCGGGAACCAACCTGGTGCAGGACTCTGATCCGACCTGCCACAGTGAGAGCTGGAGAGATGCTGCAGCACTTGTTCCAAAGTCAAATGTTACTTCTATACCGCACCGCAGGAGAAATGCCCTAACCGTGACAGCCCTAGTCGAAATTGTCAGGTATGAAAACAAACTCTTGGTCTGAAAAAAGAACCTAATAACATGAAATATCAGAAGACCAAATGACTAATATTGGACTACCGTATTTTCCAGGCTATTATAAGACACACTGTCATTAAATGGTCTGTTTTCAAACTTTTTTCACAAATAAACTGCACCGGACTTTAAAGGAAACACAACAGTTGGATGGGTCAGTGGGATTTTGTTTGGCGCGTTCACGGTGACTCTGGGCTTTGTTCAGTTGTGGCGTTGGGGATCGCTGGATTGTCGACGTGTTCGCAGTGACTCAGTTGTTCAGTTGTGTCTAGAAGTGGTACACTGCACTCGCTTTTTCGGTTCGTTCCTCCGTTCTGTTCCTCGTCGGCGTGGAGTGATGAGTGTGTCTGTGGGTGTTTTTCGCTCTGTGGTCAATGTCTGTCTTCGTGTGTGTTTGCGTGTTCTGCGGGTGGTGCGGCTTTGTAGTTTACTGAAGTCGTGATGGGACACCCGAGTGGATTCGTGTATAGGGCGCTCTGGATTGCGGACGCTTTTTGATGCGGTTAGAGGCTTAAGCCCGGGAAATACGGTAATACGCCATGACGGTTCACATGTTTTCAAATGAAGACTAAAAACCTCAGACTCAGACAGAAGAATCGCATGGCACAATATCGATGAGCTCTAATCAGGGGCATCTGATAACAGCGCTCTGAGGATAAGACGTGTCTCTGGTCTAGACCCTGAGGATAAGGTCGAGGGCAATGATTTGACTGGCTTTTGTAGAGACCCGACTCTACCGGAGCGATGTCAGATCTCTACTGGGCCCTGATTATTTGAGAACAGACTTTGACAATGCTGTTTAAGCTGTTCTTTTCTTTCACAGGGAGACACCCAAACCACGAGATAAAAGAGAAAGTGGGCAGATTCAATATAGGAGCAATAGGATCTGAGGATCTGTCACTGAGGTTAAAGGAACAGAGTTTGTGCAGCAGATAAATGATCTGGTGTAGGCTTTGAGTCAGGACAAACCATGTTAGCATGAAATAAAGCTGGATTATGCATGCAGTTTTTATAAGTAAAGTACACTATATGATGATTACACTTTTATTTACCGTGTGGTTTCATAAGAATAATGTACTGCAGTTATATGGAGGCTTTCAAAATGACACCCAAATTAAATAATACATTATGTCATGTTTTTTCCTGGAAATGACATTCACTTCAAATTATAAATTAGATGTTATGTCCTGACAGTTACTCTCTGGGTAGTAGTAGTATTTTTCACAACTGTTACTTGAGTATTTTCTTGCAACCACCACTTTGTACCTCTACTTAAGTAATATTAGAAGTAATGTTACTAATCCGTGTATCATTTGTTCATTTGTTTTTCAAAATAAAACAAAAAAATAATAATAATAATAATAATAATAATAATTTCTTCATCATTTGTATCCAAACTAAAAAAAAACAGATAACGATTTGTTTTTCAGTTTTCGATTTTGTGTTTAAATAAATAATGGAAGAAAATGGATAACGGTCGTTTCCCGTTTCCGTGACTTAAACTGCGATGGCGGACTTTTGCACCACATACGGACTGAACCAGAACTGAGCCAGGCTTAAACCAGGCCTAAACTAGGACTAAACCGGTCTCAGTCCTGGTCTGGTCCTGGTCTCAGCCCAGGTCTCAGTCCCAGTCTCCGTCCTGGTCTGGCCCCGTCTCAGTTCTGGTATCGGTCCCTGTCTGGTTCCGGTTTCAGTCCTGGGCTGGTCGCGGTCTCAGTTCTGGTCTCAGTTCTGGTCTCAGTCCCGGTCTGGTCTTGGTCCCAGTCTCAGTCTCGGTCTTGGTCCCAGTCCTGGTCTAGTCCCAGTCTCAGTCTTGGTCTCATTCCAGGTCTCAGTTCTGGTCTCAGTTCTGGTATCCGTCCCTGTCTGGTTCCGGTTTCAGTCCTGGTCTGGTCCTGGTCTCAGTTCTGGTCTCCAGTCTGGTACTGGTCTGGTCCCATCTCAGTCATGGTCTCAGTCCTGGTCTGGTCCTGGTCTGAGCCCTGATCACCCAATAGTCAATGCGGGCGCACCTCCGGGCCTGTCCCGACACTCAGTACTGGTTTAGACCTGGTTTAGACCTGGTTTAGCCCTAGTTTAGACCTGTTTTAGTCCTGGTTCAAAAAGTCCGGCAAAAAAGTCAAAAACCGGAAACGGCCATTATCAATTTTTTTCCATTATTCATTTAAACACAAAATCGAAAAGTGAAAAAAAAAAAAAAAAAAACAAATCATTATCCGTTTTTTCATTTTGGTTTTGGGGACAAATAATGAAGAAAATAGTTGCTTTTTCATTTTCTTATTTTTGGTTTCATTTTGAAAAACAAATGAACGAACGATACACAGACTGTTACTCTTACTTTTGATTCCTCTACCCGCCTCTGCCTGTGAGCGTACTACACACTGCTCACTTCCTATTTATTAAACTAAAAAAGTCGTAAAAAATCTGCGCAAGACGAACACCCTTAATTAAAGCCGCTACCTGGGGCTTTTCCAGCGTTAAACATCCACTCAACTGTAACTCTATTTAATTATCTGTCTCCCCGCAGGCCTGCTCCCTCCCCTGCCCCTCCAGAAGCCCGCGCTGTGCTGTAGCCCTCCCAGGATGCACCTCACCGGCTCCGTGCTCGGGGGCCACCGCGGCTCCACGACTCCGCCCCAACCGGAGGCGGCCGTCCTGTTCTGACAGCCCACCCCCCCTCCCCGACCTGAGCACCGGCTGGTCCCGCTCATCCTCGCACGGGGACAGGAAGCAGACGGGAAACGGACACTTGTGATCGGACCGGGAAGAGAGAATCGAGGACGTGCTTTGGAGGCTTTTGGGGATATTTTTAGGAACGCCGCAATGACGTTTTAAAGGAGACGTCTTATGTTGAACTGACTTGAGATTTGAACCATATCGTTTCGTTTTGTCCATTTTTTTTTGTTATCTCCAGCTCATTTTCAGATTGCTTCACTCCTCACTCACTATAGATACTTTGCAGCTGATTGTCGACAACATTTCCTGGGGGTGTGGTGCTAAACTAACTTACTAACTAAAGGCACTACTCTGTCTGAAGCTCTGTTACTCAAGTTGGATTTAATCTGATCTTTATTTGAACACAATCTGACCAGAAAGAACTGAGTTAGTTGGAATGACAACTGAGCTGATTTATGCTCTTAAACGTGTATCATTCATTCATTTGTTTTTCAAAATAAAACCAAAAATAAGAAAATGAAACAACTAGTTTCTTCATTATTTGTTTCCAAAACCAAAATGAAAAAACATTTAACGATTTATTTTTTCAGTTTTTGATTTGACGGATAACGGACTGAACCAGGACTGAACCAGGACTAGACCAGGACTGAACCAGGACTGAAGCAGGACTAAACTAGGACTGAACCAGGACTGTGAAGCAGGAGGTGCGCCCGCGTAGACTGTCGGGTGATCAGGAAACTGGGAACAGACTGGGACTGAGACTGGGACCAGGACTGAGACAGGGACTGAGACCGGGACCAGACCAGGACCAGACCAGGACTGAGACAGGGACCAGGACCAGACCAGGACAAGATCAGGACTGAGACTGTGACTGAGACTGGTTTAGTCCTGGTTTAGGTCCTGGTTTAGGTTTAGTCCTGGTTTAGTCCTGGTTTAGACCTGGTTTAGTCTGGGTTCAGTCCTGATTCAGTCCTGGTTCAGTCCGACGTCGTTATGTGTTTTTTCCTTTATTCACTTAAACACAAAATTGAAAACTGAGAAAAAAACGAATCGTTACCTGTTTTTTCTTTTTGGTTTTGGAGACAAATAATGAAGAAAACTGGTTTTATATTGAAAAACAAATGAATGAATGATACACGGATTAGTTTTTCACTTTGTCATTCTCACCATTTTGTTGAAAATCAAACTCCTAAACATGACCATAACCGCTTATATATCACAGGCTCCTGAAAAAGTGCTGTCTAAATCCATTTTGTATCATGTTTCTTGAGCTTTCAGGCCATTTTAAAACTTTTTTGACAGTGTTTACCAATTTGTGCATCGTGTCACCATGGTAACTGCTGAAGGTTCTACCACAGACATACATGTAGAACACCCCCAGTGTGACGTCAGTGCAAAGTATCAATAGGGTTGTTAAGTGTGGTGTCACTTCCAGGTCCATCAGATGATTGAAAATTAATTAATATGTTCGCAGTTTTTTCTCTTTTTTTTGTGACAACACATCTCGGGTTAAAAGAAATCGCAGTCGTTTAAAGATAACAAGGTCATAAGCATGGATCTGTGGTTTGATTGACAGAAAGTGTACGAGGGAGGGGGAGGTAAGAAGCTAGACTAGGATATGATAAATTCACGTTATCGGTGACCGGCAGTTGGTGAGATGAGTGAGATTACACAGATTACACACTGGTAATCCCATTTTATGATAGATTATTACTACATTATTTACATATTTGATACAATTTGTGGTTAAAATTACACTTTTGAAATGTATTCGACTTGTTAGATGAATAAGGAACAAAAGCAAAGATAGAAATCAGATGTGAAGTCTGTGGTTGGACCTGTAAATTAGAGCCCTGCACCCCCACAGCATGGGCCTGCAGCGGGAGGCACGATGCAGGAGTGGGCGGGTGGGATGATAAACTGCAGTCCCGCAAATTAAATATGAGGGTAAAGTAAAATATAGAAATAATTCATGTTTGCCTATCATACATCATTTGTGCTGGATTTTATTTGGCATTAATAAAAACATTTTAAGCAGCCTAAATTTGCGGACGTGGTCTAATCTCACGCACATTTTAGACATTTCCTTTCCGCTTCTCCATGTTTGATAGATTTTAAGAAAGCCAACATCCCAATCTTGCGGGATTTCCATGCGGGAGCGGGGCAAAATATCACAGATGTGGGCGGAAGTGGGACTGAAAATTACAATTCTTTGCGGGCTGGAGCGGGACTGCACAGTGCGGGTGTGGACAGGAGTGGGACTGAAAATTCTGTCCCGCGTAGACCTGTACTGGAAGTGACATCATCATTTAACAACTCAACAAATGGATGGCAAATTGTCTCAAATAACATGTATATCAGATACCAGTATACACTAGACCAGGGGTGGGCAAACTACGGCGTGGGGGCCATATGCGGCCCTTAAATCTTTTTAATCTGGTCCGCAGAACTTGAATAATAATAAGAATGATTTTCAGTGTTTTAAAAGTCATTTCAGTAAATAGTAAATACCGCGGGACTTGAAAGACAGATATTTTGTTGTAATGATTTTCATTTATGGGATATTTCAATGATACGGGATATGTTTTGTAAATATCCCATGTTATTTTTTTTTCTCTTATGAGGTGAATTACCGAAAAACTCCTTCCATCTGCTCCTGGTCTGGCTCTTCCGTCAAATTTTAGAACCCTTTGTGGCCCACGAGTCAAAAAGTTTGCCCACCCGTGCATTAGGCAGTAAAGGGATGTAACTTTTCATGCAGGGGTTTAACCTGCTCGTCTCCATGGAGTATCTGTTTTCCTAGAATGCTCCACAATATGGCATTAAACACATCTATCTTACATTTATTCAATTACAAATGTTTTTATTGCTAAAAATACCATATATTCTTAGTGTGAGCGGGTTCGTCTTTCCACATTTAACTTGGTCTGGTAGTTACAAGTTGATGTCTAATGCTGTATTGTGGAACTTTCCAGGTAAAGCAAGATTCTAAGACTTGAAATGGTTGAAATGGGAGTGCATGATTTCGTCAGATAAGTAAAAATCAAGGACGAGTTAGAAAACAAAGCAATAACATCTCCATGGAAACAAGCAGATGGAACACACTCCGTGAGAAATATTACACGGTGCCCCTTTAAATCAAACCAAATACACTGATTCAAAGAAAATCTAACATAAAATACTACTTTTAATGTCTTTTAATATAGACCAGCACTGATATTTTGCGTTTTATTTCTGTACATAACTGATTATATGAAGAAATACACTGTCTGCTCACTTTCTACGCAATGTGAAGTTTACCCATTTTCTGATCTACTGTACGTTCAAATGTCGTTTCCTCATCACAAACAGACCCGGAGTTGTGTTTTGTGTGTTTTCGATGAGGTAACGAAATTCTAACGGCTTATTTTGTGTAATAAATAAAGAACCTTTAAACCAAGTTGTACTTTTTTGGACCAATTGTAGCAGTTTGTCTAAAATGGGCGGGTCTTATTCCTTGCTTGTAATGCCTTTTTATTTTATTTTACGTTGTATGTTTTTTGTTTTTCTGCTTCAAATGGCATTGCTTTAAAGAGATGAATTTAAAATGTCAAATGAATGCATATGGAAGGTCTATCAAAATACGTAGAGATGTTTTAAAAATTCTTCAAATCGTGTCCATCAGATTCTGATTTTGTTGTAGTAAAAAAAAAATAATAAAGTTTGAAATATTTTTTGTACATGCTGAATGTTTTAAGTCTTAAAAATAAAGTACAGATAATATGTCATTTAATGTTTTGTGTCTCAAGAAATGGTCATATTTTCTTTTTACTGGTACCAATTGTAAGCAACAATCCAGAAAGACTAAGTCCTTTGCTCTCTATGCTAAGTCACTTCCCCTTCAGAGCGATATCACAACACAAACATGCGTGCATCCTGCTAATGAAACTACTGCACATCGCGTCAGGTTTGTGAAGTTGTAGTGTATTGTTTTGTATTATGTTTTTGTATATTTATGGAACATGGGTGACTTACCATAGCCTGATTCATGAGCCTGATTCATGAGCCTGATTCATGAGCCTGACCTCACAGCATTAGGATTTGTTCACTCGACGGGTAAGTTTTTTCATTTAACCAATCACTGCTATTTGGTCGCGACATATGTAATGCACCAAATCCCGTAAGAAGAAGGACAATAATGTTTTTCCCCTTGATAAAATTCACCAAACATTCTCTTTGTTCCGGCTTTAAATCCTCTTTGTGATCGTTGCCAACACAGAATGTCTGTTTTTGTCTACATCCATCTCGACTGCTTTGTTTACTGTTGTGCTGTTTCACAAAAGGGACCCAGTCAGGGCTTCACAGCTCTTTGCTGATTGGCCGGCACGTGATCTACAACTTCCGGAGTTCTTGCAAACCGTCTAGTGTATTCCAATGCCTGACCTAATTGCTGGAGAGAAATTAAATTGAGGGTAAGGAGGGTTCAGATAGGTCCAGAGAGATCACTAGATTACTCAAACTAGCAGGGATAACATCTAAAACCTCTTTAGGTTTTTCATGAGGGGACAATGTTATAAGCTCCAAAAAGACAAAAGGGCCGGTCAATCAAACCCAAAAATTTATTTTCAAATAAATTCTCACCAGGCAAGAAAATTCATTTTTGGGTCTGACTGACCTACCCCAAGACAGTGGGAAGGAAAAAATAATCATTCTTAGGGTCTATGTGACCCCAAGGAGAGCGTAAGGGTTAAAACCACACACTAAATATGAAATATTAGCTTTATCAAGGTAGATAAATTAAAAAAAATATTGCAGTAAAAAATTAAGTTTTAATTGATGCAAGGTAATTTGGGCCAATTCACCTGGAAGCCTGAGGGCCAAGAAAAATGTGTCTGAGGGCCGCATTTGGCCCATGGGCCATAGTTTGGACATGCCTGCCTTAAGTCATTCTTACATAAAGACTAGGCAGGTAAGTGAAGCGACAGAGATGGAATATGATAAAGATACTGTTTTATGAAGTTACTTATTGATGTGTTGTGTATAAAGTTATTTTTATGAAGTTTTCAAATAGCATTGCGCCTGTATTTAATAATCATGGAGTCTCCAAATCAAACTAACCTGGGCGCTTCCTCACTATAATCAGCGTTAGACTAATGACTCGAGATGCAGCAGTATATTGTGATTGAGCGGAGCCGGAGTCTCAGGAGAGTTGAAATGAACCTGCAGCACGAGCGTGAAGGAGGAGCCCCGCCACACTCCAACACCAGGTCCATACGAGCAGAGAAACACAAACTATATGTGACAGGGGTAACAGAGTGTCGCTCCTCTGCTGCTGGTTTTTCTCTTTGTGTCTCTTTGTGCTTATCGTTTAAAAACCCTGTGAACCTTCTTCACTCTCTCACACTCTGCTTGTCTCTTTGTCCGAGTCAGTAGGAAGCAGCTCACACATTGCACTTATAATCCTCATTGTA